GGCGATGTGCTGATAATAGCGAAAACTGGGGAAGCATTGAAAGGCAGAGGCCATCTTTGTTATTGTGACATCACGGGCTTCACGATTAACCGGTGTCACGGTCGTCAATATATCGAAAATATATGAACGCCAACAAAATACTTCAACCTTCAAAGATTCTTAACAAACAATAAAAATGAATTTGCACTCATTGCAAAAATATGAGACGCGGAGAAAAACTGTTGGTATAAGCATGGTATGCCGATAAAAATTATGTTCATTAGACGAAGACGTGACTTAGGAACGTCACCAGTTACAACTCCTTTATGTAACAATAAAGCAATGAGTTGTACATATCTTATCGACAGTGGTGCAGACATATCAATTCTGAGTAAATCAGCTGTTCGGCTCAATGCAGTAATCAAGAAAGCAATGTGGATTATGTTAGTGTTTGGAGCCAAAATTGTTTATTGTATCGGCACGTGAGAAGTGTTTTACCGACTGCAAGAATGGATATTTTATTTACAATCGTACCCGGTGATGTAGTTCCTGGAAACTTAGATGCTATTATTGCCTGGGATGTTATCGGCCGACGTCATGTACGTGCAGAAAAAGATACTGATGGCTTGGAACTGTCCCATGACCTACTCAACATACTTAAAGTTCTGACATGGACAACCTTCAATAGTTTAACAAATATAAATATGTCATGAGTAGACGAGCCGACGATGTTGAAATTAAAGCAACTACTCATAAATTATAGTGAAAATAATATTAACATTAAGTTTGAGACAAATTCGAGATTACCAGTAACTTAGCAGTTTTTAGCAGATGCAGCGACGACTGAGGGTCCAAAATTAGCGAGTGGAGGAAAATTAAAACAGAAATATAAAGAACCATACACTATTCTAAAAGCTCTTTCAAACGAGCGCTGTCTCGTGTGTAAGACAGGTTAGCGTAGCACGCTGGCTGTGCATGAACAGCTGTGTTTTGGCCCACAAATGCAAAATAAACAAATCAGGGGTTATCTTAAGTACTGTAATAATAAGCTTGACATTCTAATTATCATTGTATGCCTCTATACTGTCTGATTCGTACTGTGGTATGAAAGTTTCTCTAATTAAATCTTTGCATTTTAATTTGTCCCATGATCAGTTTATTGTTAGAACTTGTAATTGTGACATAGATGACGTTCAGGTAATAGACTGCTGCTTTTAATAATAATGTAAGTTTTATTGCTGAATAACTTCGAAATATCCAAACCTGAATCTAGCAACAGTTTTAAACGCGTTTATTAATTCGAAAGAGGAAAGATGCGAAACTATGTTTTGCCTGTCGTAAACCAGAGCATATAAGTTGAAATTGTCAAAGAAAACAAAATTTTGGAATTTGAAAAATTAAGACATAAATTTTAAATTGGAAAATCACTTGTGGTTTTTGCAACAAAATCTACCATGACTAAAAAAAAAAACAACAGGATGAACAATAGATATTTACGAAAGTTAATTATTTTTCTCTAGAACTGTCAATGTCATTGATTTTGTACTAATTTTAGAATTCAGAATATAATAGTTAATTGTTTGATAGACACCGAGTGTAGTTTACTTTCCAGAAAAATTGCAAATAATGTAAATTGTGTTTTATAGTGGCATCCCTAAAAGAGGTGGCAATACCACCTGATATAAATAATAATAATAATAATAAAAGGATAGTGGCAACCTCACTAGGCCTAAAAAGGGGTGGCAATACCACCTAGTGTAAAAAAATAAATAAATGAAAAAAATTAAAATGATAGATTAGTGGCAAACCCACTATGCCTAAAAGAGGTGACAAATACCACCTGGTAAAAAAAATAAAAAAACGAAAGAATCTTGGCAACCCCATTATGCCTAAAAAGAGGTGGCAGTACCACCTGGTATAAAAAAAATGAAAGGATAGTGGCAACTCCACTATGCTTAAAAGTGATGGCAATACCACTTAGTATAAAATAAAATAAAAAAAATTAAAAAGAAAGGATAGTGGCAACGCCACTATGCCTAAAAGAAGTGGCAATACCACTTTGTGTAAAGGGAGAGGATCATTATTAAAATAAATAAATGTGACAATAAGAGTTCTGTATCGTTCCTGTTTCTTTGCTTTCAGATAGATACTACAGTCGAGGACGCGAGGACACTCCGATTGCAGGATAACCGTGTTAGCGGACTCCCTTTTTGGCTCCTCATATTGGCCAAGGCCATGACGTGTTCGCTATAGGACAGCCGAGTCAAGTGGTTCCTAAGTAGAGCATCCGCGAAAGCGGTGCGGCGGTCAGTAGAAGTATGTCGATGACCGAGAACCTGGCGATAGCTAAACGTGTAATTAAGATAAATAAACCAAGAGTGGGTTAAACACCCCCTTGATTTAAGTTGATTTAATAAATATTTAAAATACTCAAAATAATAAATCGTAGATCTGTTTCTTTATTAGTTCTTTTATGTGCACATCCCATCGCAATCGTTGATTAATTAGAATTCCCACATATTTTAAGTTTGAAGCAGACTTTATTGTTAGATCATTATCTATGTCAAATTGAAAAAAGGATGGTTGTCCCGATTTATAAAAAGAGAAGGGTAGCTAAATTGCTTTTTTTATATTCAGTGTTAATAAATGATGGTCAAACCATGATTTTAAAATCATTTGGGGCCTGTATTTTTACATATTCCTAGTTATCGCCTTCATACACATATATATATATATATATATATATATATATATATATATATATATATATATATATATATATATATATATATATATATATATATATATATATATATATATATATATATATATATATATATATATATACAGTATGTCCGCGGATGGGGTTTACAATAGGTGTAATGGCTAAAATTTTGAACTTTTCGAGAAAATGTTATTCTTTATAAAAGTTTTTGCTTGCCTAAAAAATGATAGTGACGTTGACAAAAAAATTATATTTTTAATACGGGGTGATCAAAAATTACAAAAACTTAAAATTCCGTAAGAGCAAACTGATTATATTTTTTATTTTGGAACAAAATGTGAAATAAAAAAGTTGTTTCTAATTATATGGTCTGTCCAAATCCAAAATTTCATTTGAATATTACAATGTTTCCGAAATTAGTGAATTTTTAGTAAAATACTAGTCGGTTTTTGTTAAATTTTTATTTAGCTAATTGCATTCGAACAAGGAGAATAAATACCTGATAAACAATTTTGATTTTATAAAAGTGCATACATATTTGAAGTTTCTGACTTTATTAAATATCACAATTCAAAAATTACCCAAATTGAACGCATGTTTCCATTCGTTTTCGAATGTTGTGAAAACTACTTCTAACTTCCTTAATGGTAATTTATTGCACAGCTGCCGAAATGCGCTGCTTTAGAATTTCAACGTGCGTCGTTGTATGTGAGTTGTCGGTAGGTAATTTGTTTTAGACGCCTCCAGAGAAATGTATCCGCAATTGTCAAATCTGGACTTCTTGGTGGCCACAGAACTGGACCGCCTCGTCCAATCCACCTTTGCCCAAATTTGCTATTAAGCCAATTACGTACGACGCAGGCATGATGTGCTGGACATCCATCCTGCTGAAAATACATTCTATTACGATATTCCACCGGCAAGGCTTCTAACTGATCAAAAAAGAATGTATTAAGCATATGTAAATAAGAGTTACTATTGCACGTATTTTAAAAAAAGTATGGCCCAATTATGCCATGATACGAAATAGCGCACCAGACATTTACATTTTTAAATATTGCCTTCCGGTAGAAATTCTAAATTCGGGGTTGGTCTCACTCCAATACCTTACATGTTGTGAAGCTACAGTCCCATTTATTGAAAAAGTCGACTCGTCGGAGAACATAATAAATTTATAAAAATTCATGTTGCCACTTAAAATTTCATTTCATAACCATAAACAGAAATCTAGTCGTTTTGCTTCATCCCCTTCTTCTACGGTATGGTTAAAATGTGGTTTGTATGGAAATATTTTATTTTCTTTCAAAATTTTTTGGATGCAACTTTTTTTAACCACCTCCAAATGCCAGGCACGATTTCTCAACGAAATTCTGGGATTTCCAGCAACAGATGTCAACACTAATAATGTGGCGGCGTCATTTTTGATCATATTTTTTCTTTTCTTTCTTTACGTCAAGCACTGAACCATTTTTTTTTTAATTTTTTGACCAATTTATGAACTGCCATTCTCGAAACATACACATTAGGAAATCTCTGACTAAATTTTTGATTAACGAACGGTATGAACTTTTTACCGTCTCCATAACACTGTACTAAAAAAATTCTTAGCTCGACAGGTAACATTTTAAAAATTATTTTTTAATGCAGATGTATCATGATATGTAGACATACCTAGGTAACAACGCACCTAACAATCAAAAAGAACATTACAGAAATTATACAGGATGTTCCTAAAATAAAATTTTACTAAAAATTCACTAATTTCGGATACATTGCAATATTCAAATGAAATTTTGCATTTGGACAGACCATATAATTAGAAACAACTTTTTTATTTCACATTTTGTTCCAAAATAAAAAATAGAACCAGTTTACTCTTACGGAATTTTAAGTTTTTTGTAATTTTTGATCACCCCGTATAAAAAATATAATTTTTGTCAACATCACTACTATTTTTTAGGCAAGCAAAAACTTTTATAAAGAATAACATTTTCTCGAAAAGTTAAAAATTTTAGCCATTACACCTATTGTAAACCCCATCCGCGGACATACTGTATATATATATATATATATATATATATATATATATATATATATATATATATATATATATATATATATATATATATATATATATATATATATATATATATATATATATATATAAAATAAACATTACCGATAATGTAACGCTCTGTATCGCTAAACTGACGTTGTGCGAGAGAGGGCTACATGTTTAGAAATAACGGACACATCCAATATCCGAGTATACTACGATTAATCTTTCTCATAGAAAAGTCCCAGCCGGGATTCGAACCTGGGATTTTTGGGTGAGAGTCAAGTGTCCTTGCCTCTCGACCATCAATCATATAAATGAAATATATATATATATATATATATATATATATATATATATATATATATATATATATATATATATATATATATATATATATATATATATATAGAGTGGAATGAAAAAATAATATTAACTGAAAAAATTTTTTGTTAATTATTATTTACTAACTTTTACAAATCTTATCACAGATAAGTATAACATATATCCTTTTAAACAATTATTTTCCCGGCTATTTGCCAAAACGCTGAAACTTGGATTACAAAAAAGATAATATGCACATTATGTTCAATACAATTGACTCAATAATGTTATTTTTAATTTCAACTATTCTGTCCAGTAAAACCAAAAATAAATAAAACACAAGGTACTTACCAGTTAACACTCACTTTAAAAAACTTTAAAATATCTACCGACACGTGTTTCTGCTTGCCTAGCGTCATCAGGGTAGCGAGGACATTTAAAGAATCCACAGTAAGAAAACTTGTAAACCCCAATGTAATAAACATTAATGGCTTCAGAGAACAGAATAATTGAAATTATATAGTGGAAATACCCCTTCGGGGCAATGAAATAATTTAAAAACAAATTAAGTTCCTCTTCTTGGTAAAAGTTAAAATATAGAGTGGAATGATAAAATAATATTAACTGGAAAAATTTTTTGTTAATTATTATTTACTAAGTTTTACAAATCTTATCACAGATAAGTATAACATATATCCTTTTAAACAATTATTTTCCCGGCTATTTGCCAAAACGCTGAAACTTGGATTACAAAAAGATAATATGCACATTATGTTCAATACAATTGACTCAATAATGTTATTTTTAATTTCAACTATTCTGTCCAGTAAAACCAAAAATAAATAAAACACAAGGTACTTACCAGTTAACACTCACTTTAAAAAACTTTAAAATATCTACCGACAGGTAGGTTGTTTAAAAGGATATATGTTATACTTATCTGTGATAAGATTTGTAAAAGTTAGTAAATAATAATTAACAAAAAATTTTTTCAGTAAATATTATTTTTTTCATTCCACTCTATATTTTAACTTTTACCAAGAAGAGGAACTTAATTTGTTTTTAAATTATTTCATTGCCCCGAAGGGGTATTTCCACTAATTAATTTCAATTATTCTGTTCTCTGAAGCCATTAATGTTTATTACATTGGGGTTTACAAGTTTTCTTACTGTGGATTCTTTAAATGTCCTCGCTATCCTGATGATGCTAGGCAAGCAGAAACACGTGTCGGTAGATATTTTAAAGTTTTTTAAAGTGAGTGTTAACTGGTAAGTACCTTGTGTTTTATTTATTTTTGGTTTTACTGGACAGAATAGTTGAAATTAAAAATAACATTATTGAGTCAATTGTATTGAACATAATGTGCATATTATCTTTTTTGTAATCCAAGTTTCAGCGTTTTGGCAAATAGCCGGGGAAAATAAATTGTTTAAAAGGATATATGTTATACTTATCTGTGATAAGATTTTGTAAAAGTTAGTAAATAATAATTAACAAAAAATTTTTTCAGTTAATATTATTTTTTCATTCCACTCTATATTTTAACTTTTACCAAGAAGAGGAACTTAATTTGTTTTTAAATTATATATATATATATATATATATATATATATATATATATATATATATATATATATATATATATATATATATATATATATATATATGGCTTGGTTCATTCCTACTCATTTCTATCATATATACTACCTTAACCGCTGACCAACTGGGTGGGATATAGGTCCATGCCTGAATAATGAGGAACGAGAGCAGTATTTTTAGTACATTTTGTAATAGAACTACGTCCTCTCCTGCCGATTTGAATAGTTGGAAACATTTGATAGCTTACTCAATTGCCGGTACTGTGATAACGTTTTTAACTGCCAGCCAGTCATTTTTATTAGGTCGCTTTAATAGTCCTTCTGACCGTGAGTTCTGTGCTAACAGCTGTAGGGTTTTCTTTCCAGAGTCTATATATGAGCCATCCTGTCGCCTTCACGAGCTGAATTCCCACGTCGGTTCTCTGGAAAGAATTTTTTTGGATTCTAGTACTATGAGGTAGGTAGTTTTACCCACACAGAATTTCCTCCAAGATCTTCTTTTTGCTTTCCTTATTTCTTTGTTATAGTCAATTAGAGAGGATCTATATTGGTCCCAGTCGCCCGAGGCTCTAGCTCGATTAAAGAGGCGTCGAATTTTTTGTCTCATTTTATCCAAATTCTTGTTTCACCTAGACGCGTCCCTATTGTCCTTTTTTATATTCAACGGACAGTTTTCGTTGTAAGCTGAAACAATTGCGCCTCAGATTGGTTCCGCCGCAATTCCAGTTTCATCATGATCTCTGATTATGGTGAGAGTGGATTAAATGTGAAACTGGTGGGAGTTTTTGTATCCTTCTCAGTTTGTGCACTTCGGCTCTCGATATGCCATCATAGATCTTAGACCAGCTTCTGTATTGAATAGAATATGTTTGTGATCTGAACACGAGAGTTAATAAGATACCTTCTTGTTGGTTATATTGTTGCTCAGGTAGTTTGAGCTGATTGTCATACCTTAATTTTCCATTCCCAGATGTTTCCTGTTGGAGCAGTTCACTCCTCTTGGGAAGCGATTGCGATTGGCTTTCCCCCTGAGGGAGGTCCGGTCGCCGTCAGAGGGGTCTTTACCTCCTCTGACTTTTGGATTTATTAAAATCCGCAGAAGGATCTGAAGGTCAGCCTCTCCAGTATTGTCATGGACGCTTCATCTACTGAGGACGTCCTTGGTTTGACTACCAGGTGTAATACGGTCCACTCCCGGGTGTTCAAACCGTGGTTCATTTTTCTTAGACTATTAAGTGTTACCTCGGAAGACAGTCAGTTACCGGCGCCATCCCGGATATATGCCACACAGACATGAGGTTTGGGAAGGTCTTGCCCCTGCCCATGGCTGGAAGGGTTCTGTGACACTCTCCATCCATGAGGCGCTCGTCCCATCCGCACATGTGATGAGAAGCCACCCAGGCAGTTATGTGCAGCCTAGGAACCTCACCTGAGGAACCTTATCTGGCATTACCTCTGCAGCTTGCATAATCCCCTGCTGTAGTGCTCCCATCTGCGTATTAATTATGGTAGCAGTCGGGTAGTCAGAATGGATTATGCCCACCCTTCAACAGCTTCCAAAAAAAGAGGTTTTACAGGGCTACCTTCCCGGGGCTTTTTTGCCCGTTCTCATGATGTGCTATCGTCAGAGCAGACGCTTACCGGTTACAGCTTGCTTATAGGAAGTTTGCTTCAACGCTTTACTTAAGTCGGTTTCATAAGGTAATCCGCCCTTAAGTAAACGACCAAGGCGTCTTCTTGCCCCCCAGTCGTTTTCTTTTTAGTGTGATGCCATCCAATACTTTGGATACCTCGTTCCCTGAAGTGCAATTCTCCAGCCCTTAGGGGCGAGGAATTTAACAGCTCCCGCTTCTGATGTGATGAAATTGAGAAAATGTCAAGCCATAGTGAAGTACTTACAAAAAATGTTCGTTTTTCATTTTTACATCACATCGTTGAAGAAATACAGGGTTCCATTTGAAAAAATTGAGAAAATTCAATTTAAAAATGTTCTTAATTGAATGCTAATTTTTGGCCACTCTGTACATTTTTAGGAAATGAAAATGATTCAAAAATATTAATTAGATATCTCGTAACTGGTATTCACATAAGTTTTTCTTAAAACCCATAATTGTGACTGTGGTGATTTTTTTAATATCCATCTGCAGATGGCATTATTTCAACAAAAAAAATTCATTACATCAAAGTGGTTGGGAAATAGCCAATAATAATAAAGGAGTGAATAGAGCCTAGAAAGAGGCTTCAAAAAATGTACTGATATACATAGCATTCCATTTAAAAAAAATGGCATTTGGTCCTGTAATTTCATCTTGGTATGTTCGAAAATAATTTCCAGTTATAGACTCTTTTATCTAGTTTACTTGCAATTTTTTAAAAAATTTCTAGCTATCGTAGAACTCGAGATATCGAGGTCCGACGCACTATTGCCCCACCCTGTATTTATCAATTTAACCCTCCATAAAAAATCTATACATGCTGGTAGCTATCTATACAATAAATTGCCCTCTAACTTAAAATTAGTTAATAACATTGCTGCTTACTCTCCAAAAACACTGTTGAGGATTTTTGGGGAGAGCCTTACGCCACATAGATGCTACGACTAGCTGGGTGTTGTAAAAGTGCGAAGGTCGAAGGCAAAAAAATGGCGATTTACCCTATCTCGGTGCAGAGTGCCAAACCAATTTGTTCTACAACGATTAAAGGGGATCTATTGAAATGCAATAAAACCCTGAGCGCCATCTATAGTTTTTATGAAATATCCCTTTAATCGTTGCAAAACCGCTTCCTGTAAACAAATCCGAAATTGTGGTAGGATTGAATTAAATACTTTTACTAGTTTCTAGTGATAAAGTCAATATACATATTTTTATTATTTATAATGATGTACAAACATGTATGTATTTAATTTTGAACACTGTTGGATTTGAAGCCAACGAGTTTAAAGATATAAAAAAAAACTTAAATTTGCAATAATCAATATAACAATCCAGAAAAATATTTAACAGTAAAGAATGTTGTAATAATCAATCAAGTAAAGTTATATTTAATTAGATTATATGATCATACGATGAAATTAAAACGCTGTTAAAACTCACTCACTAAAGTCAGGAATAATTGCACACACCAAAGTCTCACCAAAAGGTAACTACGGGCGGTTTCCCCTGTGACTTCGATGGAGTCACCAATACAGTAGTTCTCCAAGCAGCTTCCAGTGCCTACCGTCCAGTACATATACCAGATCGTTAATTAAACGAATTATTTCTGACAGCCTTATCGCACGTTAGAGGTATCCCATAATCCAAATTCCAAATTGTAGATAAATCGTAATTAAACCATAAAATACCAACTCCTGATATGAACGGATAGCATATAAGCATTCCTTAC